TGGGGAAGGGTGTGGCTGGCGACAGAGGAAGCAGCTGCAGGAAAGGATGGAGGGCGGCAAGGCAACAGCAGGTGCAAACATGGTGGATCTGGCGACGGGGGAACAGCGACAGAAAGGATGGAGGTTAAATTTAATAGAATAGGAATAAAAAATCAATAGAATAATAAATTTTAAATTTGCAATGATTCCAATATAAACAGTGACAGCAACAATAAATGTATTTGGTCTAGAAGAAGTAAAAATATTACTATAGCACAAAAACATGAATACTCATCTCGTTCATAAACAATTTGTTTGCTCTTAAATTTTATCACTTCTTTCAAATTAACATATAAAATATAGAATATTCATGTTACTTAAATTTTTATCACAGTAATTAATTATGTTTTAATCATTAATTATTATTTTATTACATTATTTTAATTAAGATTTCAATATTTAAATTATTAAATTTATTCATTGCAACTAAAAATAATATTAAATATTATTAATTTATACAAAATGCTTTTGGCAAATCAAATCCTAATTTTTCTTCTTGTCGCCAACCTTTCCTCAATCCAACTTTGAAACTTCTATAGCTTGAATCCTGATAACCTTACCTTTAATAATTAATAATCAATAATGTACTAAATTCTAAAATTATAATTATTAAAATCCTTACCTTTAATTACTTGGTTAACCCACGTAGCCGCACCCATCTTTCTCAAGTTCAACATCTCCGACTTCGACACCGCGCCCTTCTTCCCCATTCACAAGGTTTAGCTTGTTGATTCCTTCGTCTGTGCAAATCGAAAGTAAGGATCTCCCTTCTTCTCGAGTGCATAGGATGCACACACGAATCTTCTTCCCGCACGCGAGCTCCTCTCCTGCAAGCCAAGCTACTCGAATCAACTCTACTCCCGCAAAGGAGAGTCCCTTCCTCACAAAAATTTGGCTAGGGTTTGGGACGACTTCTTCCTCATGGTACCACATGGCGTCGATGTCTTCACTTCGTTGCTTGCCCTAGATGCGTGTTCTCTACATGGGAGCCCTCGATATTCCAATTGAAATCGAATCTCCAAAAATATACCACATGACTTCTCCGTCTTCTCCCGCCTCTCATCTTGCCTCTGCCTCCTTTCATTCATACAATTTATAGGACGAATTACCCCTTCGTGTTCTCGACTGTTCTCTTTATTTCCCTCTCTTCAACTCCCTTGAAGAAATGAAATGAGGCATCACAATCAATACTTTGAATCTACTGACTTCTACTGATTTCTTTTTGCTAATCTTCCCGACCTCAATTAACATAATTATATATATATATAGTTTACAGTAAACAACACTGACCACACGACTTCTCCTTCTTCTCCCGCCTCTCATCTTGCCTCTGCCTCCTTTCATTCATACAATTTATAGGACGAATTACCCCTTCGTGTTCTCGACTGTTCTCTTTATTTCCCTCTCTTCAACTCCCTTGAAGAAATGAAATGAGGCATCACAATCAATACTTTGAATCTACTGACTTCTTTTTGCTAATCTTCCCGACCTCAATTAAACAACACTGAAACATACCTTCACCATCTCGGTTCGGTTCTTTTCGCAGGAGCAGCTTATTGCCTTTCACGCCTCAAATCCATTCGTCAAGCTTGTGATGCACTTATTTGCACCAAACACAAAACAATCCTCCAGTATGTGATAAATGAGCACCTTTATTGTGGCAGTGAAGACACATACCTTCACCATCACGGTTCGGCTCTTTTCGCAGGAGCAACTTATTGACTTTCACGCCTCAAATCCATTCGTCATGCTTTTGATGCACTTATTTGCACCAAACACAAAACAATCCTTCAGTATGTGATAAATGAGCACCTTTATTGTGGCAGTGAAGTCGTCTTCCTTCGTACGAGCCGCATGCATCAAGCCTTCTCCTGCACTCCTGCTTCGCCTCCTCTCTTTCCTTCATACAAAGAGGCACCACTCGCGCCCTTATCTCCACTTCTACTATTACTATTTGAACCCGTATGCAAAGCTTCTTCCTACATGTTAAGTCGCTCATGCTCGTGTCTCCCGCACGCGATTTTCCTTCTCCTTCCACTTCTTCTGCTCAAACGTGGAAACAGATCATCACTGCCCTAATGCTTCGTCACCCTCTCCTACTCAACAAGATCTCTCAAACAAAGCCAATACGCAACGTCCTTTTCCTTCTTCATGCAGAAGCCGCTCAATCAAGTCCTTCATCTTCTTTGATCACACTCGACTTCTCTCTCATGGGAAATCAAAGTCATTAGGCTTTGTAAAAACGTTCCGCTGCTATACCCATGTGAGGTATCTCGACCTCTCCTTCACTTCTTCCTTCTCTGAATCTCATTCTCGTTCTCTCAGCCTACTTAACTTCTTTGCTTTGCTTTGAAAGAAACTGTCGAGACGCTTCAAATCAACACCAACTCCTGATATTTTCAGCTATTATAATCTCACCTTACAAAACTTTGTCCTCAAACTTTATAAATCATCTGCGAGCCTCTATTTATTGCATGAAACACATGAGCAATCCATAAATTTTTATTAAGAAGTTTAGATTTAATTCACTATGGTGAAAAGTGGATACAACAAAACAGAATTCATATACAAGATAACTCAATTAACGTCTCCTATTAACTAAAACAAGATAACATCACATCTAAAATAGAATAACATAACAAAAACAACACACACCCTCCGAAATAAAAATACACTACAATGAAGTCCATATCATGTGTATGAAAACATAACACGAATCTTCCCATATTAGCATCAGCATTAATAGCAGGTTCTTCAGGCTCTCTATGTGTAAGGACATAAAGTCGAGGTTAAAAAGACAATCTTGGTTGACCTTGAGTAGGAGTTAAAGTTGTTGATTCTATCCTCCTTTGCCTAGTTTTTATTCTTTTAAAGATTTATGGCCAAGTGAAGGGCGGTATCTAATTATGTGATTAGGTTGTCGACATCAAAAGGATGCATTTGAGTCCATCAAGCAAATTACATTAATGTTGTTTTCCACGTTTTGCATAAGTGACTACATTACTCCAAAATGAGCCACTACTGAATCTATAAGAATTGAACTTGGGTTTCTTCCCATTGGATCCCTCTGATTGATCCATATGCTCTCCGTCATCAATACTCTTTTTTTGTATCTCCTACCGAATCTATAAGAAGGGGGACGAACAAAGTTGCGTGAAGGAGGCGAGTGTGAGAGAAGTTTAGCGCACTTAGGAAAAACACGATTGACTTGCCATATGTGTTGAAGTCGAGCCTTGCACAAAGAAAGAAGAGGAGGAGAAGGCTCTGGAATGAAGAAGAAGGAAGAGGGAACACACTTGTGCATGTTATGCTTGGTTGAACCAAGCATGAAGGAAGTAGAAAATAGGGAACCTACTCATGTGTACGGGATGGAACTCTCGTTCGAGAGAATTATGAGTGGTCAAAGGAATTATTAAGATAAGATTAGGGTTTTAATTTATTATTTTTTTATTACTTGTTCAATTGAAAAATATTAAATATATAATTAAGCATTAAAATAAGGATTATGCAAATTGAAATCAAGAAGCATAAGTGGGAGGATTTTCAAATTTCGAATTTGAGCAAGGAGAGTTGGTCCTATTAGCCCGGTAAGTTTTATCATTTTCCACTTAAGATAATTATATTTATTGTAAACTTTTATATCAATAGTAATGTTACAAATAAAATAGGAATCAAGGAAAATTGGATTCCAATATTAGAAATTTGAATAGCAGATTTTGCAAAAAAGAGATAGAAATGTAAGACTGGCATTTAATTAGTAATCAATTATAGACACCGTCAGTTCCCGTCAAAATTAATTCTAACATCTGGGGCTGGGTTGTGACATAAGGCTTAAAATAATGTCTAGATTCACAAAAGATGATGAGAATTTCTCAAAAACCACAAAATAAGAGTTAAATAATGTTGTGCTTGTTGCACTCGCTTTTTCTTTCAAATGAATATTGGTAATTCAATATCACTATTTTCATCCTGCAGTTTCTTTTAGGAGGAAGGCTCGTGAAAGATAATTATCACAATCTCAACAATTGGACAAAATTCTTAAGCTTGTTTTAACTTTGCATTTTGAGGAATTCTTACTGAATGCACCTATTAATATATACAAATGCCATAATTTTTTAAGTGTATGTAGTTCAATTTCTTCTTAAGGACATATGGCGATAATGCTATTCGAGATTCAATGAAGATGCAGGTGAAAAGAGTAAATCTAATAAAAAGAAATCTATGTTCTTATATTTTTATATCAAAACTTGCCCCTGGAAAAAAAAATAACAAAATAAAGATCTCTCTTCTTTAGAAGTGGCATTAGTAAAAACAAAGATTTTTTATTCGGTGCATGGTAAAATTTTTAACCTTTCTGGGTTGATGAGTAACCGACAAAAACATAATTAGTTGCTACGGGTCAAATTTCCATCTATTATTAAAATGAACATGAACAAAAGCAAGACTATTAAAGATTCATAATGTAAGATTGCTTAAGGTATTTAAAATAAGTAGAAACTAAAAGAGTATTTTTATTGCCATTTGAACTCCTAAAGCTTGGAAGGCAACCTGTTTAGGATGTGAGAGGTTATCCAGGTTATAAGGATAACCCCTCTCCAATATTATTTTGAAAAATTTAGTTGGAATAAAAATGTTCTAATTATGACTAGTGACCATTTTTCCTTTTAGCATTTTATAGAGTAAAAATGCATGAAAATAAATCAATTATCCATTCCTTATAAAAATATGAAGACAAAACTAAGTCAAAGTAGCTCTTGGCATTGTCAGAACAAATTTTTTGTTTTCACCCCAATCTGATTATGGTTAATATTGTAAAAATTAAGAACAACACTCAAGCTATATTTGGATCAAAGAAGGAAAATCTAAAAACACAAGTGCGATTGTCAATGAAGAAATGAAGAACCTAGTGCCGATTGAATTAGGAATAATAGATGGATCTCATATTTCAATATGAATAAGTAAAAGAGAATAGAACTTTTTTGTTACTACCTAGGAAACATATATTCGTCCTTGTGAAATCATCATCGAAAGAAATGAAGAGCCTAGTGTCAAATGCATTAGGAATAATAGATTGACCTCATATGTCAACATGAATCAAGTAAAGGAGAATAGAACTTTTTCATTACTACCTCTGAAACATAAACTCGTTCTTCACAAATTCAAAAATGACAAAATATAAAATTTTAACATCAAGTACTTAAAAAGAGAAGAAAAAATGGCTTCTAGAATTCTAAAATAAGAGGGGAAAAAGACGAGATGATAAATATATATGGCACATTTATTTGATAAAAAACAAAGACAAATGATTATTGACGCACTTAAACATACATAATGTTCAAAGAAAGTAAAATTCATGATTTTTCTTAGTAAGTTCAACTCTCTTCTAACGCTTCTAATATTGAAATATAAAGCAAGTGGGAAAAAAAAGTTACTTTGTAGTTCATGGGGCTTTTTGAACGGACATGGTTAGTAGCAAGCTCGGGAACATAAAGAACATTCTTTAAAATATATAGTGAAGTGATAAGGATGTCACATATTCATGCCATTGCGGTAACAATAGAGTTTTTCCCATTACATGGACAAAGAACACCTTTAGATGAGGAATGTGCCATTTGATATGTTATTTTTGAATCAATGATCCATGACTCAGAAATAGCATTATTTAAGGGCTTTAATCCATAAAATCCCAACTTATCAGAGAGTATTGGGACCAAACAAAAATGGATTTAGAATTTTTTATCATCATTAATAATTATCTGAGCTTTTAATCTCATCTTCCTTAAATTCTTCCTAATAAGGCTTCGCCACAAGTTTATTTGAGTAGGTTCCTTCATCGTGATGGTTCGTCAATTTGATAGGGATCAACGAAGCTCTCCAAAAAATTGAGAACTATTAAGTTCTTTTCAATAATTTATTCTTATTTAACAAAGTATTTTATACAAGACAATGTATAGACTTGTCTAAAAATAAAATAAAAAAATTTACAGCTACTAAAATAAATATTAAAATTAAATTAGGTTATTAATTTTCTTCCTTGGCGCTAATCCATGGGATCCTAATTTCATTTTTTAGAATGAATCATGAGACCCTAATTTCCTTCTTTAGCATGAATCATGAGATCCTTACGTCATTGATTGTCACGAATATGTGAGATCATGATTTTCATTTTTTGATTAATTCATGGTTCTAACAATAAAAAAAATCTAAAGCATATGCGTACCATCCAAGGGGCTGGGTTGTG